AACCAACCCAAACCCAACCCACCGAACAACACAGCACAGCCACCAACCCCCAACCCAACTGCTAGTCCTATACTCTTATTTCCTGACTTGCGGTTAGAATTAGTATCACGATCACCTAGTGAAGTTGAACTGAAATTCCATGAGATGATCTTATTCAGAGAAATAAAGTTACCGGTTGAAGCAGAGAACCCGACAACGACCAAGTCGGGCAAGTACTGTTTCAGATCAATAATGTCAGAAAAATGTGTCATCTCTTGTGTAACATTCGAATCGGGTGCAAAAGTAGTGAAGGCAATACTCAGGTTTTTTGAAGTGGAATTGTAACTAATGGTAGCATTATTTGTTTTTCCTTCCATAATACCTCCTTTCCAACGTCTGAAAATGGTAGAGTTGAGAGAGTTGACGTCGATGCCCACGTGATCGTACGGGGGGTCGCTCGTTGGATATGGGTAGATGTCAAACTCCACCGCCACGAAAGCGGTATCGTTTGGAGATGCGAAGTTGACGGGGAGGCCGAGATTGTAGCCACCTGCTGGTTTTGTGTCTTCGAGGAGGAAGGACCCGCTTGGGGCTATGAAGAAGGCGAGGCCGTCGCCGTAGGGGGATTGTTTGAGCGAGTCGATGGTGAAGTTGAAACTGGTGGTGAAGTCCGCGAGTTTTCCGGTGGCCTTTTCGCGGAGGAGGAAGGGTTGGCGGTAGATGGCTCGGCCGGCGCTGCCGTTCTTTTGCTGGTCTTCCCCGCTTTTGGTGAGGCGGAGGTATCCGCCCTCGAAAAAAGCATCACCTTTTGTGGATATGTTGGGGTAGTAACTGCCACTGAAGTTGGAGAAACTGAAGTTTAATGGAGTTGCAGAACGGGTTAACAGAAGAAGAAGAAGAAGAAAGTGAAGCTTTGTTGAGTACTTTGCGACCATTTTGGAAGAGAAAAGAGAAGAGAGAGAAGGGTATTAATAATTAACGTGCACAAATGTTTGTCATCTAAAATATAGAGATAATTAGTTTTGGAATTGAAATCGAAAAAATTTGGTTGCAGAATGAAAGACTTGAGACGATTGTTGAGTCCATGAAGCACTTTTCCAAGACTGGAAGCAGCGAGGAAGGAGGGGAGGACCACGGAAAAATATCTTTGTTCTATTCTTCAATGAAGTTTATAGCTCAAGATGCACGATTTCACCATAATTCAGACCTAGAACTTAGAAGCCCAACTCAACTTCCAACAACGGGTTGAATACATCTAACTTTCAAAGTTGGATCATCTAGAACTTCTAAAGTGGATGTTTAGTTGTGTTCTAAAATTCAACCAAGGTCAAGTCTTCTGACCAATCAAGATCAATTTATTGCATTCTTCATTTCATTTACTTTCGTTTATTGCTTTGATCTATTTTATCGCACTTTAACTCTTGTCTTTAAGTTTAATCGCATCTTTAATTTAATTGCATCATTTGAACTTAGAACCCATAAGAATCACAAAAATATCCATACGACGCTTAATCATTCTTGAGCCCGAGGAAGTGAAAGAACCTAGGTCAAGAGGAGGTTTCTTGTTTGGCTGATCAATCACTTGATCAGACGTTAGAAGCGCAATATATTCATCCAAGCCATTCAGTAGCTTGGTGGCGGCACGCTTACGCAATCCAAGAGAAGAAGGACCAAAAGTTCTTTTCGTCGGCCACCTCAGCCGAAAAGAGGGAAATACTCATCTAGTGCATTTAGCTAATAGAAGACTATTCTTTGGAGACTTCAGTAGCTTTCAACTTTTCTTTTCTTTTTCAGTAAGCTGGTGTTCTGCTTGATTTTCCTTTGCTTGCAAATGGGAATGGATCAAAGTAGACTATCCTTAGTAGTTTCTCAATGTCTTTATGCATGAACCAGAAGAAGAAGAAAAACATGACATTACTTAGGGACATGAATGAATGAATCCAACTTGATTTATGAATGAGACATGTAACGACTCACTATAGTCACAATTACTGTGCATCTATGGCATCAAATATATAAGCCACGGTCATTTTGTGGCTGAAAAATTATTAGACACAGATCAGATAGAGTAGCCTAAGTTACCTGTGAATTGATTAAATCGAATAAGAAAATGAATTTAGTGGGTTGACTCCGAGTCAATAGAGACTGGGGAGACTTCAGTGGTAAATTACGGAAATGTCCTTGTAATTAATGTCCTAATTTATGTATAATATCAATAAATATACACGTGCTATGGATATATTAGTTACGTCAATATCTCATCTCGTAAAAAATTACTCTGCAAATGCAATATAAGATCGATAAGAGTGTTTGAAACTGAAAATGTTGTTTTGGTCTAGTTAAAATGGGAATATGGTTTTTCTTCTAGTAATCAAGTCATTATCGTACACAATCAAATAAGACTTTTAGTAGTTTCAAGATGTGTCGTTCAACAAAAATAAAAAAATAAAAATTTGTGTCGTTATGTTATGTAGGGGCATAAATGGTCCCATGGATAAATTCAATTGCGATCACACCCGAATCCAACTCATTCGTTTGTGAGTTTCACATTCCACTATGGCTTATTTCACATTCCATATGAGGTCAAACAATGCATTTGGAAGGATTCTCCGATGTAACTTCCATGTTAGAAGAAAACAAAGGGGAAGGTAGAAGACATAGAAGATTAATGTTTTCTCATCGAGTATTTTTAATTAATTTTTATATTTTGTATTTCCTTTCTCTGTTAAAGCCAAATTCGTTCTTTTGAGGCTTAATTTTTGGATGGAAGGATTCCAAATCTATGGACTAATGTAACATTATAAGATAAACTTGTTTGTTTAGACTAATACAACTCATGTATGCAAGTTTGGACAAAAAATAAAGGAAGAATATAAATGGATTTCAAATAATTCCTTTATATGTAGTTAGTGACAGACCCAGGAATCTTACGTCATAGGGTCATTGCGTAAAAGTTCAATTTTTCTTTTTCGGCGGTGGCGGCAATGGAGGAGATGAGGGTTAAAGGGTTTTGGGGTGGGGTGGGGTGGGGGAGGGGCAATGGGGTTGAAGGTGAAAGGAACGCCCCCGGAATTTC